TTTTTTTTTCAGGCGAGTGAGGCCAGGGATCGAGGCGGGAATGCATGCTGAATCTTAATGCCACAGAGGAGTGTCCCGGGACGTCTAGGAGTCTGTGCATAATTTTGTTTAGATTTGTCATGCATTGTTTTGTAAACCGCTTACTTACTATTCATATTTGAACACCTTGTTTTGGATTTTAAACCTCCTTCATAATTGTTAAAGTTTCTTTTTGTGAAATCTCGTTTCTCTATTGGTTCTTACACGATTTCATTGCATAGTCTGTTGGTCCGGCTCTTAATTTCGAGATTCAAATTTTGGGCTGTGACATCTATGATACGTAGATGTACGACATAGAGACTAGTAAAGAGTTAACGAATTCATCTTAGGATCATGTATAAAACTATGATTGATAAATACGAATTCGGGAGCCAAGTAATGAGTTATGATGTAACACCCCAAAAAAACTAAAGGAAATTAGCTCGAATAAGAACAAGCGGACCGTGTAATATCCAAAGGATTCAAGGAAAGAAAATAAGAGGGTCAAGCAAGGACAAGAGAGTCTTAAGCAAGTCATTTCTACACAGGTAATTTTAAGAATTTAAGGCCTTTGGACAAAGATTAGAAATGGCAAAAAGGTCATTTTTTCAATTACCAAGGATCTTTCTCGATTTTTAATTCCTCATCGAGAAGGAATTTCAAGATGGTCGAGAAGCAACATCAAGGGATGAAGAAATTTAAGAAAAATTATGGATGTTTGGAGAATAATAATAATAAAAGGTTCTAAATGTGACAAATTACTAAAAAAAATTTCCTCGAAAGTTCCACTTAATTACAAAACTGTAATTAAAGAAACTTTGCAACCAGATTTGATTCCAGAACCGTCGTGCAGAAGAAAATTAATCATATATTCACATCCAATCGTTGGATTGAGTTGCTATTTGGACATGTTTAACAAGACTAAAGGTTGGTAGATCCAATGGTCGGTCGGCGAGCGGCGGAGGACGGCGTGACAGGCGTCGAACACACGTCGCCCGTCGGCTAGAGCAATGCAGCTCCAGCGAGGCGAAGACACGTGTCGCCTGCAAAGCCGAGCCGAACCGCAAATGCGAGCCGAGCCGAGCCAAACTGAACCGACTGACCCGCGACTACGCAGGGGTTGCCGCGCGTGGTAAGTGCATGTCCACGCGTGTGGTCAGTGTACTGTTGGCACGTGAGCGCGCGTGAAACGACCATTTTGGCCTGGTTGCCCTCTATTTGCTCGATTTTTATCCTTGCTCCAGTTCAAATACTGATTTTAAGTGAGTAGGGATCTAATATAAAGAAATTAGTATTTTTTACACCTCACGGGCAAAGAAACGTTAGCAAAAAGGCACGCATCAACCAGGTAAGTCACCGCCCGGTATTTAGGAAGAAATACTTGTAGGATTCGCTTGGATTGCATGCATGCTAGTAATTTTGTCTCAGATTAGCTCTCCATGTAAAATATTAGCCAGATTGAATTCTATAAGTGTATTGGGTGAATGATCTGAGTGTTGCTTGTATGCTTTAAGCTTCCACCGTATGTATACATGCGTTTAATTTATGTTGGAATTGTGTATTCCGTGTTTCGAGTGCTTGATGGATGAGTTCGCCCCATTGAGCACGAACTTCGTGTTCTAGGTGTTTGATGGAGGCCATCGCCCCGTTGAGCCGGCATGCCTAGTTTGCATGAATTATATATTATGATGTTAGAAGACGGTTGCATGCACACTCTATTCTTTATCTAGAACTCATTTCTATGATAAGCCTAGGGGATTACTGTTAGGGGTGATATGTCGCTCTAACCAGACTTAACTTTCCCTTAGGAACATAGCAGTTTACCACGGCAAGAAGGTACCTCATGAGTGTTCATAGATTGCTAGTGTGAGAACGGTATCTATAGCTTCGTGGGAGTACCAAGGGTCCCTGATCAGTCCTTATCGCTCTTAGCCATTTCGCATGGGAAATGTGTCCCCACGTCGTACAAACTAGTAGCTGCATGGGAACGGGTTGGGTCGCGCCACCCATAGGGGGACTATATGGGCGTAGGGGTATTCAGCACACCCCTAGGCTAGATACCATGTAGTCCCAGATAGCCATGTAAAGGTAGCATCTCATAGAGAGATACAGACAATATTAGCTTCGCGTAAGGAACCTCTAGGTGTTTAATGAAAGGACGATGAACCGGTGAAACCCAAGGGGCAAGCTCCAAGGGACTAAGATTAGAACTAGATGTCCTAAAACCGAATTAGAAAACCGTGGGTACTTGTTAAATTAAGATGCGAAGAGAGCCTACAAATAGGTGGCTTACTGAGTATAATTTTTATACCCATCCTTGCTATGTTTTCTTTTTTTTTTTCAGGAGCACGAGGCGTCAGTCAAGGGCGGGCGTGATGGAGATGGGGATTGTCACAGAGGAACGGGTTGTCCTGGGGCGTCAGTCCAGTCGGCATAATTTATTTCCAAACTGTCATGTGTTTTGTTGTTTGTCGTCCAAAAACTTTATTGGAATTTGTGGATTTTCTTTATTTCATATTTAAATTACTTTGTGCATTTGCGTCTTATCATTAGTCACGGTCTGTAGTAAAATATTGGGTCGTGACAAATTTGGTATCAGAGTAGTCAAGTTATAGGTCCTGTAGACATTTAGGATAGAGAGTTGTGTCCTCTGTGACCTCGCTCGTCAAACACATGTCGCTCATGACTAGACATTCTCATGTGACGGAAACATAGAGACAAAGGTTAAGTTAGTATTTATAGTGTATATCATAACCGACTACGACATTATAATCGCACATTACCTAGGAGATATGCTAAGAATGAATTGTAACCATAGTTCCTTTTTCTATTGTGGTAGATAATGGCACCAAAGAGACGCGAACCATATGTAGGGCCCAAACCAAAAAGGGGAAGAAGAGAGGAAGTTCAGGACACCTCGGTTCCAACACCTGAAGAGGAACAACTTGAATTTCAGGAGGAGGTTGGGGATACGCCCCAAACTAGCGAGGGGATAGTACAAGGGCGGGCGTGATAGAGATGGGGATTGTCACAGAGGAACGGGTTGTCCCGGGGCGTTAGTCCAATCTTTTTTTTGTGTTGGCATACTTTCGAAATTTATTTCCAAACTGTCATGTGTTTTGTTGTTTGTTGTCCAAACACTTTATTTGAATTTAAGGATTTTCTTTATTTCATATTTAAATCATTTTGTGCATTTGTGTCTTGTCATTAGTCACGGTCCGTAGTAAAATATTGGGTCGTGACAGATTTGGTCATACTAGATTTACTCATATCGAAATTTGATATCGAGATTTGGGAATGTTTTGTGTGTCACATTGTATTTCTTGAGTGACATAATGGTGAGAGTTTATATTGTATGATAGTGAGGTATTCACTTGTAACGCTTTGTTTGATTAGTGATTGGTTGCTACCCGTGGATGTAGGAAAACTTCTTCTCTCCGAACCATGTAAATATCTTGGTGTCTCTTTGTATAATTCTGTTCATCGGTGTTGTGAGTACATTTGTTCCGCTTTCAACGCACAACAATTGGTATTAGAGTCTGATTGTGGTATTCGGGGTTATTGTGAAATTTTTGGCCTCATCGACCACTAGACGTGCTCACAATCGTGCTTATTTTCTTGAAAAATCAATTTTTAAGAATTATGTTTTTAGTTACATCCGGATTACTTATTGCAAATGGCAGAATCATCTGGAATTAAATCACAGCGTGGATCGAGATTTTTGAGTTCTAATTTCGAAGTGGAGAAATTTGATGGAACCAATAATTTTGGTGTTTGGCGAGGCGAATTTAGCGATTTGCTAGTCATGCAAGATCTTGATGCTTCTCTCCAAGAGAAGATGCATGAAGACATGACAGACGCCGAATGGACGAAATTAAAACGATAAGCTTGCGGAATTATTCGATCCTGCAAGGATCAGAAATATTCATTTATGAAGGTGACCATGGAGAAAGAACTATGGGACAAGCTTGAGGCAAAATATATGCAAAAGAGTGTGAAAAATACACTCTATTTGAAGAAGAAACTCTTCCGTTTTGACTACAAGAAGGTATCTCAATGGCTGAGCATTTGAATAATTTTATTAAAATCATCACTGATTTGCTCAATCTTGATGTTAAGATTGAGAACGAAGACAAGGCCTTGTTGTTATTAAATTCTTTGCCGGAGTCCTACGAGTTTTTAGTAACCACCCTACTACATGGAATCACTGATATTGATTTTGAAGATGTTTCAAATGCCTTGATGAATAATGAGGTGCGAAAGAAGGAAGAGAAGGCATATCAAGATTCTAGCTCAAATGTTCTCATTGCTCATGGAAGGACTTCTACTTTGAAAAAGAGTGAACGTGGAAAGTCCCGATCAAAGTCGAGAGGTAGATCTGATAATTAAAGAAAACTTGATAAAAATGAGTGTGCATATTGTCGACAGAAAGGCCATTGGAAGAAAGATTGCCCGATCTTAAAAGAGAAGGGGTCGAAGTCCAATGTGGTTAGAGATGACGATACTGATACAAATAATGCCTTGACGATCTCCTTATCAGTCAGCAAAACCAGTGAATGGATTCTTGATTCTGGGTGCTCCTATCATATGTGTTCCAACAGAGAGCTGTTTTTGGACTTCAAAGAGTTCAATGGTGGAGTTGTCTATATTGGCAATGATAGTACTTGCAAGATGACGGGAATCGGCTCAGTACTCTAGACTCTTCTAGAACTCTCTAAAGAACTTCCTAGGAATCTATGACCTTCTAGAACAACTCGCACTAAGATGGGTTCATATGGTTACAAATACAAGTTACAACTTATACCTCAAGAAATCAAGGACCTTAGAAACTTACAAGATTAAAAACCAAGAACAACAACGCACACATTTACAACTACCCAAGTAAGAAGAATGCTAGGTACTACTCAAGGACAAGGGACCAAGGTCCCCAAATACAAGGAACTCAAGAATGCTAGGTAATACTCTAGTCATGTCCAAAGTGACCCATGACCTCTCACCAAGCGATGCCCAAGAATTCCTCTTCTAGGTGGGATGCCCTGCACCATGTTTTCTTTGCAGGATG